ATATAGCCATCGCAAGTGCGACCGGTCGAATAACATTTCAAGCATGCGGGTCGAGCTAGATCGCATTTTATCCGTCTTATCCTGAGAAATGTCAATCTCGTAGTCTTGGACTGCCCTCCCTAATGCAAAATGCAAAAGTCAAGACATACTTGCATGTTTTACATCCCAGTCTGGACTTCGGAGCGAACTTGCGAGGTTTTTTTCTCCAAGCTTGATTGCCCGCCTTGGTATTCTCGGTCTTCATCTCAACTATCGTGGCGATGTGACCTGGATGAGATCTGCAAATGCGCACCATTTCAGGCACAGGTCGTTTAGAACCACCACGTGCATGTATTGAGACCGAAAGATGAGCTTTTGGGGCGTCTACAGAAAGTTTGAGATGACAATCTGTTTGTCGGTTCACACGCCTGTGAGGAAGCTATCGCCACATCCCTCACGGTGGGCGGCTGGGTGAGAAACGGTGGACAGTAGTACAGAGTACAAATCGCCAAAGCTGGGGAAAGTCTGCACTTAATGAATTTGTTTTTACAAACGGGGGTACATCAACAGGGGTTTTCAGTGAGGGCGAAGGATTGCATAGGTAGATAGCTTAGAGTCTACCCATATTATGACTCCCGGACTCACTGCACGCATCAGGGACTCGGGACTCGGGATAAATCTTATCTTACCTTTTAAAGACTAGTAGCACAGATTGAGGGAGTTGATTGGTCAGCTCGTACAAGTGGGCCACCAAAGAGGCTGAGCTGAGCCTACTGGACTACTTTATTCTGGATAAGGCACCAGTATCAGTGTAAACATACAGACAAGAGCATGAATCTCAGATAAGTGTGGTCACACCTGCTGAGGTTGAAGAAAACCATTGATTGGTTCATTCGTACAAGTGGAACAGAGAGCGAAAGAGGTGTTTTGAATCAATAGCAAAAATACAGCTGCCTATTGAATTCGTCCGATTGAACGTCACGATCTAGGGGATATATCTAGTATAAATAGTTCCTCAACATCGGCGCAATTGCAAGAAAGCCAGCACAAAGATCAATAAGAAGCCCCCGGAATCGAAAATGAACCGATTTGCGAACGCGCTCTTCCTTTTGATGAGCTTGGGATCGAAAGCCCACAGTTTTCATGATCGGGCCATGGTCTATGGCTTTGACAACGTGAGTTCGCGAGTCTAAGATACCACAGTTGCCCAAGGGCTTCGAGCCCCTGACGAGTCATCTAGATTGAACCATCAGCCAACCTCACGTGGACACCATGTTTTGATGCCTTTGGTTGTTCCAGACTGGAAGTTCCTTTGGACTATGCGAATCGAAGTCTTGGTACAACGTCGATTGCCTTCATCAAGCTGGCTGGCAAAAATGCAACCGTCGAGTCTCCAAGTATTGTACTCATACCTGGTACGATCTCATTCGATCAATCATGGCAACATTGTACTTCCTTTACTGGACTGACATTCACCAGGCGGCCCCGGTGGCTCTGGTGTCGACCTCCTCCTCACGTACCAGACTCTCGTGGGACAAATTTTTGGAGAGCAGTACAACTTCGTCTCCTTCGATCCTCGCGGTGTGAACAACAGTGGCTTGCATCTAGACTGCTTCTCAGGGGACGCAGAAGCAAGATCGGCTTTCTATCGACTACACAGAACAGGCGCTACCAATGTCTCGTCGATATCGTTTGAGGAACAGTACTATTCAAGCTCTATTTACGGCGAGTGGTGCAACAATGCCGTGGGAAACAAGTCACCGCATGCGTACTATGTGACTACGCCCGCCGTTGCTCATGATTTGCTCACATTCACCGAAGCCGAGGCTGAGGTGGCCGGTCAGTCACCGTCAGCCGCCAAATTGTGGTGCTATAGCATCAGTTACGGCACTGTCATCGGAAGCACTTTCGCTTCCATGTTTCCTGACCGAGTTGGAAGAATGGTGCTCGATGGAGTCCTAAACGCAGAGCAATACTACAACAACTATTGGACGGACAATGTCGATCAAATGGACGAGGCCATGGAAACATTCTCAACCTTCTGCCACTCCGCAGGCCCTGCAAAGTGCTCGTTCTGGGGGCCCACATCGGCCAACATCACGGCGAGGATGGGTGGCATCATCCGTCAGCTTCAGAATCATCCTGTCCCGCTGAGCGGCGTCGGCGATCCAGATCTGCTGCCGACAATGGTCATTTACTCAGACTTGAAGACTCTCTTTCTCAACACGCTCTACACCCCACTGGCAAGCTTTCCTAGCATGGCTGATATACTACATGAAGCCGAGAAGGGAAACTTTTCCGCTCTTGCAGGCATGTATGACCAGTCAAATTCTATAACCGATGCCCGGCTTGCCATTACATGCACCGATTCGTATCGGAGAAACAAGCTTATTACCATTGAAGAGTTCAGGACTTGGGCAGAGTACACGATTTCCAACAGCAAGTACATCGGCGATATCTACCCAATCTATCTGGAAGGTATCTTATGCCAATCGTTCCGACCGCAGTTGCCTGATAGCATGGTAGTTCAAGGTATGCAACGCTCTTTTGCTCTCTCTCTCTATCTCGCCTCTATAGTATTCTATAGACTTCACCTTCGGCCGAGTGGGTGGCCATGTGCACTAAAATCCAAGTCTAACCAGGTTGTGATGTAGGTGATATCAGCGCATTGAAGACGCCTACGTCCTTCCCGATCCTCTTTGCGAGTAACACCATCGACCCTATCACGCCGTTGATCTCGTACGTCCCTGCCAAGTAGCATCGTCATTGGCTACCTATTCTTCTAACTGACATTATCTCGTCGTAGGGCGCGCAAGGTGTCCTCTCGGTTTGCCGGATCAGTACTTTTGATGCAAGAAGCCGTTGGTGTAAGTAGTTTTTACTTCCTGATCGATCTCATCGCCATCTCGACTAGACTGTTTTGCTTACACGCGGGATCGTTCCGCTGCATTCAGCATACGGTCATTGACCAAGGCGCGTCAGATTGTTACTTCGGAAAGATTCAGGCATACTTCCAAGGCATAGTTCCGTCGGCGAATACTACCTGTCCGCGGCAGTACGCTCCTTTCATAGATGCCTCTCCATTCTAACGGTTGTCCCAAATGGTGGGTAGGAGAGGGGAATTTCGAGCACTTCCAGGAAAGGATTTTATCAGTGCGACCCAAGTGCTGAATTGTCAAAGTATGTGGCTCATATACGCCCATTTTGATGGGGGTGCTTTCCCATCTGTTATTGACTCATACCATCCATTCTTTTGCTTTCAAGCGCGGGTTAGAAACGTGACGAGTATTTATTATAGTCGGTTTCCGCTCACGAATTCGTTTGAGGACTCGTGCGAGTTCGCAACAAGTCAGCCATTCATAACACTCGAGAACAACTGTCGAGTGCAGCTATATACTTTGCAAGCCTTCTTCTATCGGGTTCTGACTGGATCGAGTTTGGTATTCACGAGTGTATCGTCAACGTCTACTCCTCTCCTAGTGGAGTTTTGATTCACGAAGCCAACTCTGAATCTACTTACCTTCCCGAATACTCATCTGCTCTTGCGTATTGGGGGCTTACCAATTACAGACAAAGGAGACAGACCCTGTAGTCTCATGGAATGAACTGGTGTGACATGATGGCCGTGTCAAGGGGATTAGATTGACGTAGAGGTAGACTTCAGCGTAGCTACAGAGCACGATAAATAGATACGGGTATCTGATGAGTCGACGGATGGAGACTGTAGTTGATTGTTGAGGCTTAGGAAAACTAGGTAACTACCAAGACAATGACAACTACGTATCGCAACAAACACCATGTCAGGTAGAGTTTCCGTGGCCTGACATTCACTGATTCATCCTCTGGACAAGACTACGAATGGACTCCACCCAAGGGGTCGGTGGACCCTGGAGGACCCGCTTCCGCAGCCTCATCAAACCAGACTAATTCCTCCGCCCCCAAACTAAACATTCCTGCAGGGCGCAAAAGCTTGATTTCCCCGAAGATATGACGATGGTGACCTCGCACCCGAGTTTTTTTCCTCTTCCGGTGAAGTCCAGGATCATTGTTGAAGTGATGATCGGCGCAAGCACAGTCGAAGGGTTGAATCAGTGCCAGATAAGAAGCATTTGCCTGAGGAAAATGAGCCGAACTCCGCGACTGCCTGCGCTCTATAAAGAGCCTGCTCATTCCCAGCTCACCAGTTTATTCTTCATCAATCCAAACCATCCTCCCAAGAGAACCACATTCAAAACATCTCTCCCTCTGATCTTGTTCTCATCTCGGACACAAACTCAGTCCACGCCACCCCAAACCCCGCAGAAGCCAAACCCAGCAACCATGATCCCCCCCACCCACCTCCTCAGCACAGTCGCCCTCCTGGCGACCTGCGCCCGCGCCATCGAGTTCAGCGTCATCATCTCCACCGCGGGCGACGACTGCGACCACAGCTTCGGCTCCTCGGACTACCACTACCTGGAGGTGGACGGGTCGCAGACGATGGAGGTGCTGACGACGGCGCAGTGCCTGGCCGTGGGCGAGGACGAGTACGACGTCGACATCGGCTGGTCCAACCTCAGCGGCCAGGACTACGTGCCCCCCATCTACGCCTGCCCGGACAGCAGCTGCTCCAGCGGCTGCGCCCTGCTGTGGGCCGCCACCGAGTCCAGCAGCACCCAGTGGACCAGCTCGTGCGAGCACGCCTACAACGCCCCGTACCTGTTGGTGGATGGGATGCAGAATCAGTGAACGGCCCCGATTCTCCGATCGGGGTTTGACTGCGTTTGCAGTTTGTTAGAAGTGGACGGAGGTAGGGGCGCGGAGAGGGTGCGGTTAGGGGATGTTGGCTGAGAATTAGGTATATTTGGTTTGAACGCGGTATGCTGCGTGTGTTGGTGCGGAGGTTCTCGTCTTGTTTGGTTGGTGCGTCTGTCGGCTTTTATCGAGGATCAACGGTACATAAGTTTGTGGAGGAAACATCAGATACTTAGTGCTTTCAAAGGAAGGAATGAAATTGTTAGACTGGTAAATTTACGAACTGTGCTCGGAGACTATGGACGATTATCGCGGCTACTCGGCGAGTAGAGCTTCTTCTGTTAACTATTCTCGCTCCAGCGGTAACCGCCTGGTAGCTAGGATTGTATGTAATAACCAAGTCTGCCTATGATTTTGCAGCAGATTTCTGAGATACTGAGTGGCTGGATGGTCGTCCGTGTCGAATTGTGATCACAAATCAGACACGAATCCGTCCTCGACTGGAAGTTGATGATTCTTGCTGATTTGCTACCTGTCGTCGATGGCTTTCCAGGCCGTTCGAATGTCATATTGCGATTGTGAAATCCACGAACAAATCGTGCCCGGGGAGGTGGCGAGGCTCTTTGCGACACTGGTTCCCTTGTCGGTGTGTTGAGGGCGCCAGTTTCACGAAGAAATTTGGAAACTTATCGCGGGCGGGAAGAAGTGACGAGCCCCGGCCATGTTGCGGTTTCGATGGCTGGGAACAGACGGAAGCCTATTATATTAGTGATCTCTGATCCACCCCTCCAAGCTCAAAATACTCCTTCCAAGCCCGTCGCCAATCGTCCGCGCGACTCTCGTCGAAGAAAAAACGCCGTAGGACCCCCTCGATCTGATCGATGGATCGATAAGAGAATCCACCACTCCGTGGGGATCGCGGGACCAAGATCACCATCCCAAGCACCTCCATCTTAACAAGCCAGGGCAAACGCGATGTCCTTGGCGGTGTTGCAATGACTGTAATAATCCAGATCCCCAGTTCCTGGAACCAGGGCTCATCGAAGAGAGATGAGAGTGATCGCAGAAGGCGTGCGCGCTGCTCAGCCTGTCGGAAGATGACAGCGCACGGATGGGACCCCAGCGCGCTGAGATCGTCTGCGAGCGAGACCAAAGCGATGCTAATGCACTGTTCAAGGCTGTCACTGGGGGTGAAGGTCAGACAGCGCCAGGTCTCGCGGGTGGTGACGTCTGTGCCCATCCCGCTGTAGAACCAAGAAGAAAAGTCCGAAAGGAGGTTGACCACCGTCGGAGTCAACCTGCCCGATCGAGCGAGATCTTGGAAGCCGGGCGGTAGGAGGTCCTCCACGCTAGTGGCATCGGTGGCTGGGCCTGGGCTTAGAAGCAGGCGAGGGGGTTTGTTGGACAATATTGGCGACGGGTCCACTTCCCGCTGAAAGCCAAGGCTCATCTTCAGATGGAACTCTACCATGATCCTATTGACGAGCACCACCTTGCCCAGGGGGGAATGCCTTGGCAGCATACCTGGGCCGGCACTGGATCCTGAGAGTGTGAGCTGCGACGCCCTGGTGGGAGATTCACGAACGCGCATGATATTCTGCAGTCCTTTCAGGTGCACGGCGCGAGACTCGTGGAAGCCCAGACACTCGTCGACGGAGATCATCGTACAAAGACTGTGCAGCAGCACGTCGTCCACTCGCTGAGCGGACAGTCTCTGGCGCACGGCCTTCAGCAAGTGCTGCCGATGCCACAGGATTGCCTGATAAGCCCCCCTACTGCCATCCTTCTGATACATGATGCACAGGCTGAAGGCTGCCTGGCTATGAAAAACCTCCTTGTGTTCGAAGGTCCATGCAAGGAGATCCCTCGCGTAGCTGTCTGCTTCTAGTTTCCCCAGGCCCACAACTTTCGCATCGTACGGGAGAAGGACATCGTACACTGAAGCAGGGTTTTCCGGACGGGGCTATGTCAGTTCGGGCTCAAAGCAAGATTTGCGATCGAAGATGAGTAGATATGGGTCGCAAGAGCTTTACTCACAATGGGCGAGAGCTTGCAGCGCAAGCGGTCCGCGAGAGTTAGGGCCAGAACCCTCGATGGGGTAGAACCTCCCTGCAGCAAACGCACGCGCCGGCAGCTGGCCAGCGCCAGGGTCCTCGGCCTCGGGCCTCCCGCATGCTGATCCCTGCTCGTCTGCCTGACGTGCAGGGGGTTCGCCTGTGGGATCACCAAAATGAAAAGTAGGGAACCAATGGAGAGCTTGAGTGAAGTTGTCTGCCTTTCCGGTTGCACGACCCGTCGTAGCCGTCTTGTGGGGCCGTGAGCATTGCTTGTCGCTGGTCTTTGCGGCCGCAACTGCGGCCACGTATGTGTTTATCTTGCGGCGGTTGTGCTTGCCGTGGCTTGAGGAGGGAGGGTTGTAAGGGATAAACATGGCCAGGTATAGGGGAAACTGTTACATAATCGATAGTGCGATGAGGTTCAGGATGAGAAATATATGAGATTCGGTGGGACCACATTAATAGTAATACGAGTCAGCTATGTTCACCATATTGTTTCCCATAGCCTTGGTCTACCAGGATGCCGGATCGTAGATACGCGGTGGGCGCGAAAAAATAAGACGTGGAATTCTCGGCTCGGGAGAGATGGCGCCAAACTGCATTCGGCAATTCAAGACTCCGACTATCTACACCATCATCTACACAGCAGCAGCCGAGGCAGTAAGCTCTCGAGCTATTCCGAGCACCCCTACAGCTCAACGTTCCCAGGCCCAGTACCCCCCTCTTTCGACTGCACCAGTCCAACCGTACACGACCCACTCGGAATATCCAGAATGAAATCCCCACTCCGCCCATGCTGCCCCCGAATGCCCACGTGGAACAACTGCCCCGCATCCCCGGACTTCAGCATGCATTTGTATTTCTCATCCGCCTGTCGCAGGAGGTAGTGCGCCCCGCCATCGGCCGTGTACTTTGCTCGCACCGCCCAGAAATCCGTATCCGTGTTTCCGAACCCCGTGGTGAAGTACACCGGCACCACCGGCGAGAAACCCTGGGGAGGAATCGACATCGTCCACGCGCTCCGCCTCTCGCCCGTCCCCTCGTGCGTATGCGCGAGTTGAGACCATTCGAACGTCTGGTCGAATTCGTTTTTAATCTTTTCCATTATCAGTCAACGGAGTCTACTACACCAAGCACACCGAAAGGAGAGTCGAGCAGAGCAAGGGGGCATGCCTACCCGTGCGAATGCGTAGGTATTGAACTCGTCCTCGTCGTCGTTGTTGCTGATCTGCGTGTTCATGCCGTCCTATTCCTCTTCCGTCAAACATGATGCCTTGGGGAGGACTGGTGGGACATGCATACACTGTTCATCGGCATGTGGAAGGTGGACCCCTCGATGGTCCACGTGTACACTTGCCCACTGTCGGACTCCTGTAGGTTGCAGGTGCTGTCCCGGTCGATGTAGAAAGTCTCGCCGTCTTCAAAGGTGATGTCCAGGTTCCACGTGTCACTTCCAGTGAAAATGCCTGATACCGTCAGCAGCTGGCTTTGAGCCCGGAAATGATTGTGGCTCTCTACCACTTGAACATACCCGTCGCATATTTGATCCAGACTGCTGGGAGGGTCTGGCCGCTCGGCACGTTATCCCAGGCCTGGACGTTCAGCTCCTGCTTGCTGATGTGCGCAAATCGGATGCGCTTTAGGGGTACTGGGAGTGCGTTTTTTATCGCGATTTGGGTGTAGTACGTCGTGCTTGTTACGTTGACGTTATCGGGTGATTGGGAGCGTGGGGTGGAGGGAGAGGTTGCTGATGGAGACGATTTGCCGTAGTTAGCAAAGGCTTTGCAGTGACAAGGGGGGGAGCATTCCACGTACCAGTCACAGCAATACGAAAAAGAGGTAAAAGAAGCATCATCCTCGACATGAAAGCCAAGTTCATGAAGAAGTTAAGATTGTTACCCATACTGCCGTACTATATCGGTAAGAGGTAGCTATGTTTGCTGAGCATGTACCGCAGGATGCTTTCGAGACGTTGGGTGGCACTTGCCTGGAACTACTTGCTTTATAGCTCCCGGTCCTTTCGGCTCATACAGGCTATGTTATGCGATGTTCATCAGGTGAACAAGTCTTGCTCTCTTGTAAGTGGAAGAAAATCCTCTCGGCTCGGATTGCCGCCTTTTTTTGCGCCTCCAGGGCTCTATCGCCTCGGCTGAACATTCAGCTCGCCATGGCGGGCGCTTACGATGCGAGTGCCATTGGTTAGTTGCTATTGATATTCTTCAGTGTCGATTCAGCCTCGGACTTACCGATACCCAGTTATAGATGGGTCTGTTCGATCCAAGATACTAGATTTCTGCACATGGTCTCCCATCCGCGGCTGTGCCGGGTCATCTGCAATTTGGCTGCTAGACTGGAAGGCACCAAATCCAAAGGCCGGCTACGTAGATCTATGTGAATAGCAGCGAGGAGGAGGGTTCAATCGGTGTAGGCGAGCGATGCTAGTGGAAGCGCTGATCAGATGTAGTCACGCTTCTTTGATGTCAGACTGCATTCTCATCTTGCCTGAATTTCGGTGACTGGAGGGCCTGTGACTTGCGAAACATTGACCAAAACTCTATACAGTAATGGTATATGCGGAAAGTCCCATTTCCTACTAGGGTCGATTGTAGGAGATTCTTTGGTGATACGGAATCCCCTCCTCATGTGGCCCGCCAGGTTAACAACTTTACCCAGCATTCCCCTGCCAACTCAAATCACAATCCAAGATTTTTCTTTCGGACTATTGCCTATTGTTGACGCCTCTGAGAGGTGGGAGATGGATAATTTCTGACTACGTCAGGCTAACTGCGAGACCTAGCTAAGGCCACCGAGGTCGGGCCCCAGGCCGCCGTCAGCTATGTCACTATAGCAAGTAGATGATTTTTTCTTTTTCTTTCCCCCTCTAGACAAAAGCATGAGACTAAAACCTCATCAAGGTGCGGGCTGGCTTGGGGAGTAAACTTAGCAGTTCAGGTTTGCAGGGTTCTGGGTAATGATTCTTCTGTTAATTCTCAACTAGCGACTGGAATCATGCTATCCTCAGGTCAATAGACAAAACGTCGCTCGAAGAGCTACAGCGGGTCTAGAAGCAGACAGGAACTTAGGCAGTGCATATTTACTATGTACAGGGCGGATACAGCAGGCGGTAGAGTCAGTCAAGCTGGACCTGGATCAAAGACACAGCACCTTATCATCACTAAAGTGTAGCCTGGTCGCGATTGCCCCCGGCATCCAAATAATTAATCGTAACACTGGTACCCCCTATCGCCGCCAAAGTCAATCTATATCCAGCAATCGCACAATTATAGGGAAAACTTACTTGGGACCCTCCCAGCCAACACACTTCCAACAATCAAAGAAGTGCGTCGGATCATACCGCTCTTTTACCCCGAGCAGAGCCGGATAATTCTCCCCGAAAAACGTCTCCTCCCACTCCGGTTCCAGATACGACCCCTCGTTCACGTAGCACCCGCCCCGCGGGGTCAGCTCCTTCAGCGGCTGCACGGTCTCCAACCACCGTTCCTGCAGCGCGGTCTGGTTCGCCGTGGAGCGCACGTCAAACCACCCCCCAGTCATCAGCAGATGCCACAGCGCCGAGCGCCACGCGGGGTGCACGCTGGTCGTATTCCCGTTCTGCACGTTGACGGGCGTGGTCATGATGACCTGCGTCAGGGCGTACTCCTCGGAGATTAGGGCATTACTCCGACGGACCCCGTCGAGCACCGCCGTCACCAGATCCGTGACACTTCCCGGCGACGCAAAGAGATCGCGCGGAATCAGCCGGCTGGCGACGGCTTCGTAGATCCCGCCCGGCGTGAGCTGCGTCGCGATCGCCTCGGTCAGCGTCAGGAAATCGGTGTACTTCGCGTACGTCGTGTAGTTGCTCTCGGCGACCTGGATCAGCTCGGGATGAGCCCGCACGGCGGCCACGAAATCCCGCGTCAGCGCCGGCAGCGCCGTTTGATTGTTTGACGGCAACACCAGGTACAGCTCGACCTGGCTGGGCCAGTAGTAGGCATGGCCGGAGACGTTCTGGGCGGACCAGAGGGGCTGCGCGGTGGCGTGCTGCGTGAGCAGCCACTCCAGTCCGCGGTACTTCGATGCATCCCCCGCCGTCGTCGTGTTTGTGATGAAGCTGGCCTTCAAGGAGTAGACGTTGATCTGAACGGCGGGGTAGAGCTGGAATTTGTAGCTCGTCAGAACGGCGAACGTGCCGCCGCCGCCGCCGCGCATCGCCCAGAAGAGATCCGGGTCGGAGCAGGCATTGATCGTGCGGAGCTGGCCGTCGGCCGTGACGACCTCGAACTCGACGGCGTTGTCGACCAGCAGCCCGCGCGAGGGCCCGAACACCCCGTGGCCGCCGCCTTGCCCGAACCCGCCCGCCAACCCCACCGAGCCCTCATTCCCGCCCGTCACGTCCATCCCGAACCCTTGGAAGTATGCGTACACGTCCGACGCCTGCGCACCCGCCCCGATCTCCCCGATGTGCTCGTGCTGGTGAGAACAGTTCGAGGCGGTGAAGTTGGCGTGGTAGGTCATGTTCTTCAGGTGGTGCGTCCAGATGGCCAGGGTGTCCGGGCGCGTCGACCGCCCGAAGTAGTCGTGGCCGGTGTTCTTGATGCTGATCCGGAGACGATGCTGGCGTGCAAATCGCACCGCCGTGGCTACCTGCTGCGCCGAGTGGGCGTCGACGTACAGCGCCGACAGGCGGCCCAGTCGGCACTCGTCCGACTGCACGCTCTCCCCGTCGAGCGGGTTCAGCGCGCAGCTTTGGAGCCCGCACGTCTCCCAGTTGAGGCCCGTCGCCGCCCCGTAGACCTCAGTGCGGGGCTGGTTGAGTAGGTAGGTCTTCTGGGCCAGGGCACAGGAGGCTGCGTCGTAGGAGAGCGAACTGTAGTAGCAGCTGGCGGCGAAGGGGACGGTGCGGTGGAGATTCCCCGACAGGCTTTTGTTGAACTGCGCCCATTCCTCGTTGGACGGCCAGCAAGACTGTCCCGCGTGACAGTTGTACTCGACGGACGAGCTGGTGTTGTGGAAGGCTGCTGTCGCGGCTGCGCTGGGGAGGAGGTCCAGCGCCCAGAGGGCGGACGCGGCCTGGATCACTGAAAGAATCGATACGTGGACCATGCTGTAGGGAGAGGAAGACCGGGTTGTGTGCAGGGGCCTGGGGTAGGAGGAGGATTGTTTTCATCTCCGGGTGTTGGGTGCTTACTTTAGGGGAATATTTATACCCCGGTAGACTTTACGGTTTTGTCAGACACGAAATGATGGAAGAAGGCATGTCAGTCAGTAGCCGAGCTGAGATCGACAAAAGCCCTCGGCTCAGCCTCGTCTATTGTGGATATCGCAGCATGCACTCCAGTGCTGTGCTGGTTGTAGCTCATAACAAGCCTGTGTCGATCAACACAGCCTGATTGGTCGAACATCTGGATTTCCTTTTCTGGCCTAGCGGGAGGAACACCCGCGGGATGAACGCATCCACCACGCCTGTTCCATTACAGTTAACCCATGGGGCTCGTGGAGCAACAGCGGGCGCAGCCTCTCAGCTTGGGGCTTGGGTCCACAAATCGGTCATCTTGTTGAATATGGTTTTGCCGGGCACGCCAACAACACCCCCAACAATCACATCACCAATTTCACCCGCGGAGTGGACGCTCACAGTGTGAACGGCACGGCTGGATTATACCATAATGGCCAAGAGTGTAGGGTTGATGTGGGGGCGGGCGGAGATAATTAGTTGGTGAAAAGGGTGGAGATAGGCGGATTTGTCAATTCGAGGCCGCAAAGTGTCTTATTGTACATTAAACACTCCGAAAATTCTCAGAAAGATTCTGCTATTTTCTTCCCTTCTTCGCACGAGACAAGTGTCTCGATAAGTTGCTCACATCGGGCCCGAGTTCCAATTTATATACTATACTATCCCGCGTATCTCCGAGCATCCGGGGAAAGCAGGGGAGTAACGCCACGCAGATTAGAACCTGCAACATCAGGAAGAGCGTGCATGTCCGTGCATGGTCATCTTGGCATCTGCTCTAGCGTCAAGACCTACCTTTTATCCTATCAAGATGGCATTCTTTACAGCATTCATTGGGACAATAACTGCTCCATAAAGGGGTAGTAATAGATAGCATATAACTTATTTTTTGTTTCTTCTTCATTGAGCAAAGGCTCTTATACTATATCATTGTATCTGACATTTCAGGAAACCTTATAGAAGCAGTATAGCTGGCTATCTGACATCTAAGAGATACATAGGAGAATGCCGCTAAAGGGACTGTAAAGTACAAGCACAGTTGAGTCCTGAGCTCTAGACAAGGGTAAAGTGGAAGCGTACTGCTCTATCTAGATATTAATTGTTATATGCGTAGAGAAGCAGGGAAAATGCAGAACAGAGGCATCAATGTTGCAGTAGCGTCCCTTGATCTAGCTCCTGAAAGGAAGCACCTATGCATCGGTCGGGGAATTATGCCAATGAGGCCCTGTCATCTTGAAGACATACACCATCTACTGGACTAAGCTTATCATGTGAGGGCTAAGATTGAGTTGAGGTTTGAGCGGTTAGTCTTGTAGGTCTATATCATAGGGCCTGTTCATCTTGACTAGTGGCTGTTGGGCGAATCAATTCTTGCCCATTCAACCTCTGCTTGCCCCTATTCCAACCCACGACTCATTTCACATTTGTGTAAAGCAATCTAACAAGGGTAGTAAGGGATCACTCAGATAAGGTGAAAGGGAGAACCAGCCACGTTCCGCACCACAGTATACTAACACTATACAAGACTCAAACTTCTAAGTGTAAGTTGGAATTTAATCCACACACAGAGTTAAATAAATAGGTTCGAATAGTACACCGAACAACGGGAAGCATTCTAGGTAAGATATCATATTTCACAAAGCCACCGCCACAAGAACAGCCGCTGCAGCACCTCCAAGGAGCAGAATCGAATCATGGGTAATGAATGCCGCAGCTCCGGTGCTACTCTGGGTCGTGCTATCGTGAGTGGTAGTGGAAGCGACAGTGGCAGTAGCCGATTTGTCGCTGATTGCCGTGTCCGTGCCGGTAGCGGAAGCATCAGGGATGGTAGGGGTAGCCGTTCCAGTGGCCAGTACCGTTGCAGGGGAGATGGCATCTCCAGCACCGGTCAGCGTGCCCGCAGTGATGGTCACGGGCACAAAGCAGCAGAGGTCATCAGTGCCCATGGTCGTGGTATAGGTCCCAGTGAAATCCGCCCCCGTACCCGAAATCATCTCGGTGCAGACCCCATAAGTAATCCCTTGCACCGAACAAGCCATGGACATATACCTGAACAGGGTGGGTTAGCAAATGATCCTCGCAAGTCTGACAGGGAGGACGAAGACCACGTACACATCATCTTCTGGCTCCCCCAGGAAATAGTTGGTGGTTTGAGGGCCCGCAACAATCGTCATACCGGGTCCCATGCCGCAGTCATCATCATCGTCATCATCATCATTATTACCAGTAGCGGTCGGACAGTTGACAAAGTAGGTAGTAGCAGTTGCAGCCTACCCTATCCGTCAGTGTGCGATACATGAATTCCGTGCACCGCGACGGGTGGGCAGCACTTACCACGCCCATTACTGAGCCTGCCAATGACTCGGCGTCGGTATCCGGGATAAATAGGGTAGTGACAATGTTCTCGGCTGAGACAAGGGTAGCGGCAGCCAGGCCCAGAACCAATTTCACGTGCGTCATAACGGCAGAACAAAAGGATTATCTGGTATAGCGATGAAGAAGAATAATGTGCAAGAAGCAACAAAAGGTTCTCAACGGAAACAAGTAAGGGGAGAGCTATCAGCCTCGAACAAACTATCAGGTACCAGCCTAGAAGCTGAAGCCTTGCCAAGAGAGGCTAGTCTGGCCGAGCCCCTGCTTGGCTGATCTCCTTTGGGTTTAGATCTTGGGTCACTAGGTCTAATCGAGCCATGGTCAATCTACATAGAGACTAGCTGACTTGGTTGCAGCTTGGCCCAATTTCATTCCCGATATGAGCCAATAGTTCGGGCCCAGCCGATGTGCGGGCGAGATGCCCGGAGGGCGAACTTCAGAGGCATTCTGGGTGTACTTCTGGAGGGAGATCAAGCGGTGAAGACTGGCGGAGGAGACAAAGCTCTCTCAAATAATACCTCTCATTTTCTTCGTCAGATAAACGATAGGTGTGTCAGCAAGGGCAAGCTCTTGCTGGTTACTGTCTTGTAAGCTTCCAAGAGCAAAAGAACAGCCACCACGCTTAAATGACCTTCGAGTAAGTGAAAAGCCACTTCGAATGTATGGACCGGGCCATCCAGCAAAGACACAACTGCACGTGTCATGAGAACAGAAAAGGCAAGCTAATTCCCATTCTCGAATGCCTGGATGACTTCCCACTGATTTGACATCTGCGCACACTACAGAGTTGTGCGCCCCTTTGTATCTTTGATACTCAAGTTGGCTGCTTCGCTGACTAGATAGCAAACTACATCCGCTCTGCCGAGTTCGGCTGCTTTGTGTAGTGCCGTTCCAAGAGCCATGAAGCAGAAGAGCGCCCGAGGAGGATAATGGTCCTTATACATGGTGGAATTGATATCCGCTCCACGTGCGATGAGAAGTCTTAAGATTGCAATGCTATCTGAGCGCCGTTCGCTGACGTGATGGAGGAGTCGGCCTTTTCGAGCATCTCCGCCACGACTGAGCATGAGCTGGATGACTGAAACTGGGGCGGTCTCGACAGCAAGGGAAAGTGATACTCCATGATCAAGGAGCCAAGCTGCCATATCCTCATCTGCAACAGCATAGCTGACGGAATGATTTAAAGTTGTCTGCGATGACGTGGATTAGATTATCGGGACGAGTCTTGCCCTAGTACGGGAGGTTCAAGCTCGCTGATGGGTTGATTAATATCCCATCCCCTCTAAAGAAAAACCTCCAGAGCCTCCTTCCCTTCACTTTGACGGCTTCCAATGCATAGAGTGAATCTATGGGCAAGCCGCGATCAAGAAGCTCTGTGATGAACTGTACACCGCCTAGCTTGATGGCTTCGATTAATAACTTGTAGCGGCACATTCACTTGCTCAATGTGTGATTAACTTTGATACATTGCTCAAGCGGATTCTACCCTTGATGCTGCTCCATGCTAATCTTCCTCATACCTACATGAGTCCTAATAAGCGAGCACCAAATCTAGATCATTGAAGGAAACTACCCAAGGGCCTCTTGTTGGCGGCATTTTTCACTCACGTGATACCTAGGCTGTGGGCCCTGGCACTGAGCGTGATCCATATCCTACTCTGTACCCATCCCGTATTTGTAGTGAACCGACTCCACTATTCGAACGTCACACAAATTTGGAAGGGTATCTACCTGAAGAATGAAATCCATGATCGTAACTGCAGCACTCCCCCGGTTGAAAATACGCCGCCGGGATGTATAAGGGGAGACTCAAGCGAGGTGTTTTTTTTTTTGTTTTGGGGTCACCCACCACCGCTGCTCTGAGATCGTGGCTTTAGCTTTGCTTGCTATGGGGTTGATATACGCAGAATGACTGCATTAACATGCGGTGAAGGTCGGGTGCATGGCTGATGCTTATACTGATCACATCTTGCGTAGTAGCTTCAAGTATTACCTAGCGTGGCTCTACAGTATGAGATATAAATCAAGCTAATAGACTTTATGGTCCCGCTCCCCTCATCTGTTATAATTTAGTGCTTGTCCGCTTGCTCATAGTATCAAGTAATCATGGATGTTTTATAATTATTGTCACCTAGATTGCGATATGGAGAAGATGGCAAATATCACAGAGAATACGGGAAAGACGAGGATGCCGGTCTGCTGATCATACTCGCGGAATCACCTCCCCGGGATCGGACGTCTTGGATTTCGACCTTGCCTGGACAAATACATATGTGTAACTTGATATTCTGTCTTGTTCCGGTGATTGGCAGACGGTATTCGGTCGGCGGCTTCCCCACGCCATCTGGCTAGCGCAGTAAGTCAATGTGTAAGTTCCATGGTGGGCCATACGACCATTTGGTATGATGTAGTGGGGCATGGGGTGGGGCATGGGGCTGGTACTGAAGATCTGCTTATAAAAAGTCTACAGACTTTCCAAGCAGGAAAAGAATGCTAAGAACAGCTGAATGAGTATGGCATGAGACGGGACAAGGCCTGCTCGTTCCCTGGCCTATTTCATAAGCTGCAATGCAAGAAGAATCAGTTAATGTCTACAGCCGAAGTGAGTTGGATACTTGCATAGTACATAACTACCTAGTACCGTATAACTTGATTAAGTTATGCTATATTAGTCATCATGGTATCATCATAAAGTCACCCGTCCCATGAAGGTTGCAGTAAGAGGAAGCGGTCACGGGACGGGACGCGTCTCTCCGCCCGCGCCTTCCGCCTTCACGTTCCTTCTCCTTCGCCTTCTCCTCGTCCTCGTCATCGTCCTCGACCTCCTCTCTCTCGACCTCCTCTTCTTCTTCTTCCACCTCAATATCATCTCCCATTCCCCATTCCTCATCCCCCCATCTCCTTCCTGCTCCCTGAAACCAGTCCTGCCAGTCGGTTGTCACAGGTGGATCTCAGATTGCGCATGTACTGGTCGGCCTATCTTGCTGTTCTCGAAGCCAGTCCTGCCATTCCTGTGTTCTCATAGGACTCTCTGTCGTCTCTCGTGGATCTCAGATTGGGCATGTACTCGTGACCAGACCGCATCTCTACTTCCTCGTTCCCCCTTCCTAGGTATCTGCTCTCTGTCGTCCTCGAATCCAGTCCTGCCATTCCTGTGTTCTCATAGGACTCTCTGGTTTCACTCGTTGATCTCAGATTGGGCATGTACTCGTGACCAGGCTCAGAAGCTCATACATTCTCATTCTTCCATTTCTCTCCCTTTTATTGCGAGTCAGGGCTGCTCGACGTCGCTCAAAGCCTGGGTGGGTGGGCTACTCGATTTTTCGAGGGTTATCGTTTTAATCATTCAGCGGGTCTCGCAGCAACAGAATGACAACTACCTCTACGCGAAACCGACCATGGGTCTCGAAAGTCCTTGTTCACGCACCCGATCTTGATGTTTTTTGTGTCGCCCGCCTTCGTATCGTCCAAGGCCAGACTATTGCGCATGGAAATACTGCCAACCAAGCATCTATCTTGCTTTCGATCACGACAACTCTCGCTAACTCGGGCAGCGTCGCTAACTCGAGCAGCAGATCCCAGGTCCTGACTTTGAATATCCCTCCCGAACGAGTCGAAAAATGCGGTCTAGCTCGGAGAAGCAACAACACTCTCTGTCCAGCTCGTCTCCTTTCCTCGCTCCCGGCGCCTGTTACAAATGTTTCGGCCGTCTCAACATTAAGTCTTAGCCTCGACACGGTCGGCATCGTTCTTAGTCCATCCGGCATGGACTCCCTCATACCGGCCATACCTGGAGATTTGGAATTTTACTCGTTTGCCAGAATTTGTCAATCTAAATTTCTCCGTCTACACTTCTCCGCACGACAGTTTGTCGATAACGAAATTGATAGACTACAAGATTTCGCGTATGCCCTCCGGCAAAGAAGTCTTCGGGCAGTGCCTTTAAACACTGCTCGCCATGGAGTATGCCCGAAAGATTGGCGTGTCTTTGCTCTGTCGCCCGATCCACCTCCATATTGCCAGGAGTCCGTGTCCGAGCAGGTGGATCCCCCCGTATATCATGAGAAAATGCTAGGAAAACGGCCCAGAGGTATCTTCTCACTCTGCCATAGCGCCTTGTGTAATAGTTCAATAATAGTATCTAGATTCACGGTCAATGTCACCCAACGCTGAACGGCGAAAAAGATCGCACCGTCTTTCCCCTCGACCGATAGGCTCTCCAACTGAAGTTGCGACTGATGTTGCGACTGAAGTTAACACGCCGAATATTCGGGCTCCTTCCCGATCACCGTCCTCGATCCGCCTGACTCACTTTCGGCGTGCTTCCTCCCGCGGCCAAACAGAGTTCCAGAGACTCGCGCATCTGGAACACGAGCTCCGTGGTGTTTCTGATGACCTGATCCGTAGACTTTTAATTCGATCCGGCCGCGAACATTTGCTAGCCATACCGCAAGACGTCGACCGCCGTCTGGCACGCGAGCTCGAGCCTGTAGGCAGCTCTCTCGAGTCCGACATGGTGATGCTTGGGCGCCGGCTCGAACGATACGTCGATAAAACAATTGAGCGTCGGCTCGCACATTACGTCGAATGTGCCGTGGCCGAGTGTCGCGATCAGCTCTACGACGTATGCACCCAGAAGGAAGCCCAATTCGAAGAAGAGATCGACAACGGTAACGTCGAGGTGCGCAACACAGTGAATGACTGTATGAAAGACTTGGAGGAGCAGGTACAAGGGCACATGGTTCAGATGGAAGAACAAGCGCAACGGTGCATGAGGGATATCGAGGACCGGGCAGCCGAGATCGAGATCGAGATCGAATCCGAGATATCTGCGAAGAGGAAACTTTCACTTGATGGGAAGCCAAGCGCACGTCATGGGTTGCGTGCCCGTGTCACGCGCAATTCCGTTTAAACTAGTACCGGTGTCGTTGAGAGCTTGTACTTGTACTCTATTGAAGAAAGACACCCATCCCACTTGGATCCGGAGACTAAAGCATCCCTGCGTTCTCTTTCGATCATCCGGCAGCGTTCATCGGTCAAACAACAGTGGCTGGATTTGAGGCGCAGGGCGGAAATGGGGAGCGGCCCGGGGATCGAGTTACATGCCAGGTCCGCATCAAGCCGCGAAAACGCTTTTGCCCTATCGGGTACACCTCATTAACAGAGTCGGACTAGAGGCAGGCGATGGGAAAGCCAGGCGTGCCTGAGGGCCTGAGCAATGGCTGCTTCTCTAACCGATCTAACAGTAAGCACTAAGTAACACTAACGCTCACACTAACGGTGACCCTCTTAGGGATCGAGGCGCAGCAGCACAGCGAACCGTAAAGCCTCGCAACTTAAGCAACACAAGCAACACAAGACATGCCAGATCTTGCCTATCTGTAGGCACGTTTCCGTGATTTTCCACTGGAGCCTCCATTTCAGTCGCTCTGATCCCGGTTTTGCAATTTGGTCAGTACAGTAGTAGTGACGTGGCCTCGGACTAATTGCTGTGACCTGCGACGGTTTAATGAAAACGGACCAGTAAGATGGCGGCGAACTACTGTCCAAATGTGTGAATCTACTCCGTATGATTCCTGCCCTTGAAGACTCCAATGTCAATGCTGGTCTACTGTCAGACCACAGAGGGTCATGTGACCGGTGCACCACAACTGGGGATATAGCTTCTTCACACCTTCTCCTCCATCAGCTGTTGATGTTCCCTTGTTCCCTTGATTCTACCAATACGTCCTCAGTCACCCGTAAGATGTACTGATCCTCATTGTGATTTCGTACCCCGCAATTGTTTACCTCATGCATTCAACAACCTTCGCCGCGCTTATAGGATTTTTCCTCCTGATTAGCGTGTTCTTGGTCACACGCCGGCCGAAAGCATCTTCCTCTTCCTTACCCTTACCACCAGGACCCAAGCCATTGCCTTTGATAGGCAATGTCCATCAGGCTCCCAAGTCCCATGGATGGAGGACCTATCGCGAATGGAATGAGCAATACGGACCCATCGTTCACCTCAATATGCTTGGACAACCGGTCATCATTTTGTCGACCTCGGAAGTAGCCCATGACCTGCTCGCCAAACGTGGAGTGATCTTTTCCGACCGACCTCGACTGTTCCTCGCGACGGAGTTGGCATTGAAGGGGCTCAACATCCTCATGATGAACTACACCGACCAATTCCGGCATCATCAGCGGCTCCAGGTGTCCGTGCTGAACGCGACTCCAGCTGCAGCATATCTCCCCATCCAAGCCCTAGAGTCCCAACAGTTGCTGTACGACCTCTTGCAAACAAGCGGAAGCGCGGGGATTGATGTCCAGGGACCGTTCCAGCGGACCACGGCCAGCATCATCCACACCTTATTGTACGGCTTCCGGATTCAAGACCCCAACGACCCGGTGCTTCGTAGCGTGGTCAAACTCAACGAAGAGTTCTCCGAGTTCATCCAGGTGGGCGCGCATATCGTCGACCAGTTCCCGGTGCTGAACCACCTGCCGGGCTTTCTGGCGCCGTGGAAGGCAAAAGCGGAGAACCACTATACCACTAAGTATAGCCTGCGTTTCAGCAACTTCCGCCGGGCGCTGGAGGATTCGGACGCCTGGAACATCTCCAAGCAGCTGAAGAAGACGGTTGAAACGGATGACAATCGCGACATGCCCTTGGACGAGCTCGCTTTCGAGCTGGGGACGATGATCGACGCCGCGCTCGACGGCACGACCGACAGCCTGGTCTGGTTCGTGGTCGCATGTATTACCCAAAATCAAGGCTTTATCACCAAGGCCCGCGCCGAGCTCGACGCCGTGGTCGGCCGGGACCGGCTGCCGCTGCCCGACGATAAGCCCCACCTGCCGTACATCACCGCGATCGTCGAGGAGGTCCTGCGGTGGCGGCCCGCCGGCCCGGAGGGCGCACCGCACCTCAACCGCGAGGAGACAACCTACAACGGCTACCGCATCCCCAAGGGCTCGGTGGTCGTGGCCAACATCTGGACGATCGCCCGCGAAGAGACCGTGTTCGGCCCCAACACGGACGCTTTCATCCCGGATCGCTGGCTGGACGACAACGGGGACTTACGATCTTCCCTTCCGGCGCCAGCGTTCGGGTATGGGCGACGGACGTGTCCGGGACGGTTCTTCGCGCGCAATGTCCTCTGGATCATTGTGGCGCGGTTGCTCTGGTCGTTTGATATCAAAGCCGGTGTGTCTGAGGAGACGGGCGAGCCGGTCCTCGTGGACCCGGAAGCGTGCACCTACGGTCTGGTCATGCGCGCCCTGCCCTTCAAGGCGCGATTTGTCCCGCGCGGGTCGTGGGTGCGTGAGGTGATCGCTCGAGGGGGGGATACTTATGCCACGGATCACTCGGCGCTGCTGCGGCAGATTGGGGCTGAGTTTGGGAAGCTGTAACTGGAAGGCCAGCCACTTGATACTGTGTACTAAAACGTTGCCGTGAACACATAGACAATGACAATGATTAATGAGTTGGCGACGCGTCGTGGTCGATTCTAGGTGTTTGACGAGTTGGAAGAACCCACCCCGCATCGAGTTGGGTTGTACTGTACACAATCTATCTCCGCGTGGCATGGCACTCTTACCGCATGGTTGAGGTGTCTCGGTCAGAAATTGACTGGCTAGCTTTGCGCGAGTTGGGTCGAAATACCGACTATATTCCAAGTCTACGGGGAGGTAGGCGGACGGCGATTGTGTGGATGGGGTGATCCGGGTGTGGGGTGCCCGTGGCGGAGACCGGGGAAGGAACACGGGGGAGTGATATGGAGCGATGATAGGTGCGCTTCTCTTGGAGTTTGACAGATCGCGCTTGGTTGATCAAATCTACTATGAAGGCGCCATCGATCTAAATCATAGATATGGAAAAGCAGACTGTTTTCAGCACACAAACCCGAAAGGCAGGAAACCGGGGCGGGGATGGGAGCAACTGGAAGTTGATCTGTAGGAGTCAGCCATGAGGGACTCGACTCTGGAGGTCATGTCTACCTGGCATAGTTTGCGCACTATCTTCCGCTGACATCATTGATTTCACACATTTGCCCAGAAGTCTAGAATTGACGATCATTTCTCTCTCCTCCCGTCTTGTTCTCGGAGCCCTCGGGGCTCTCGGATCAATCCCCTCATGGCAAAGATACATACCCTAAATGGAAAGGATCACGAACATCCAGAGTTAGCATTCTGACTTTCTTCTCTATACCACTGTCCGCCTTGTTTGCCATAGCTATAGCTCAGTGCCACGTCAGCAGATGGCAAGTGATCGGCATAGCTTTTGACCCGAGTTTGAAAGATCCGAGGGCCCGAAGTGATCACTCTCCAGTCGCTGGCAGCATGAGGGAGGAACGTTGGATGCTGGATCTCAGGTCCGCCTAGAACACTTCAGTCGGACCTGACGAAACCAAACTCAAGGGGAAATTACAAGCCAAAACATCTTCATCCCTGGGTCTGCGGCAAAAGCAAGTCAGAGATTGATTGTTGTGCTTCCATTCATGGCATCATCTATCAAAGGCCCTGGTGCGGTGCAGAGTTACAATGGTCAGTTGTAGCAGTGCCCCCCAGAAAGCTTCCCGGCGCTGCTGCCGGTTCTTGATTGGAACGCTGACACATTTCGATGGAACAACTTCAGGTGCCGGTCTGCGAATTGCCATTGTCCACGCACGGTGGAACGATCGCCTCATCGACTCCCTCATCGCGGGGGCCAAGGGTCAACTACTGGAAGCCGGGGTGAAGGAAGAGGACATCGTTCTGGAGAGTGTGCCAGGGAGCTATGAGCTTCCTTTGGCCGCGCAAAGGTAGCGTCTTCCCTTTCTTCCACTGTTCTTTGTCTTTGCTTGTGCATCTTCTGATTCCCGATATCCCCATTCACAGAATCATCCACAAAACACAGGACTCTGAGAACAATACAGCCTTCGACGCGGTCATTGCCATCGGGGCCTTGATTAAAGGGGAGACCATGCATTTCGAGTACATCTCCGCGGCGGTCTCTCATGGGCTTATGCGTGTTCAGCTGGACGCCCATGTTCCCGTGATTTTCGGGCTTCTGACCCTCTTGACTGAACAACAGGGGCTTGAGCGAGCCGGGCTGGCGGGAGAGCGGGGTCATAATCATGGAGAGGACTGGGGGCGGGCGGCGGTGGAGTTGGGGGTGAAGAATCGCGAGGATTGGGTGGCGGGGGGTTGCAGGTCGGAGATCGGTTAGTATGAGCATTATCTTCGCATTATACATAGACATTTGTGGTCGAATGCACAACGACCTCTTCTCGTAGAGAAAATAAATCATGATGTATTTACATGTAAATGTTCCCGGAATGGGTTTTGATTTCTTTCCATTATCCATTTTTGGATTTCTTTGCTCATGCTTCTACTGTTCCCTTGTTACGCCATACTTGTTTCTCTCTCCATCCCTGTTTTTTCTGTTCTGGGAGGCACACTACATCTGTCAATATCCAAACAACTCCTAAACATGTTCATGGCATGATGATCACGACAGATCGAGATGCAGATCATAAGTGGAACTGCCAGGGTGCCCCAACGTTATCTACGCACTTTGTGCATATCCCGAGCCTCCGAAGCTACCGAGACCCCCGATACTCACACGTCGGTGGAGCTGCCCCATTCAGAATAAGCAACTCGTGATATCACCATGGATGAGAGGCGCACACGCCTAGTGATCAATAGTAGGTGCAGGATCAGGAGGAAATAGGAGGGGCCATATATTGAACAAGCCCGCTTGCCCTCACGAAAAGAGCATGAGGCAACCCACGCTCCAACCACCCGTATGCAAATCCCTCGCCGCTTGTAGGCTTGGGAATCATATAAGAGCCACCTCCCCATCTTCATCTAAACCCTCGCTCATGACTACCAAGCTTGAATGAAATATACCTGGTCTCTCCGATTGTATATTGCTTACCAGAAGATCAGCTGCCAAGATGCCTCACCACCACCACCAAGACCCCTCCGTCCAAGACCTCCCCCACATGGATTTCCGTTCCTATGTGGAAGCCTTGAAGCAGGACAACGACCTGGTTGAGATTGACCGCGAGATCGATCCGGACCTCGAGGCTGGAGCCATCATTCGCAAGGTGTGCGAGACGGACGACAAGGCCCCGCTGTTCAACAACCTCAAGGGCGCCGACAAGGGTCTCTTCCGGATTCTGGGCGCGCCCAACTCCCTGCGCGCCGACCCCAAGACCCGCTATGGCCGGCTAGCGCGCCACCTGGCTCTGCCGCCCACTGCGGGCATGAAAGACATCCTAGACAAGATGATGTCCGCAGCCCACCAGAAGCCGATCCCGCCCCGGGTGGTCCCCACGGGCGCCTGCAAGGAGAATGTCCTGAATGACGGGGAGTTCGACCTGACGAAACTCCCTGTGCCCCTGCTACACCAGGCCGACGGGGGCAGATACATCCAGACCTACGGCATGCATGTTATATCCTCGCCCGAGGGCGATTGGTCCAATTGGTCGATTGCGCGCGCGATGGTCTACGATAAGAACCATCTCACAGGGTTGGTGATCCCACCTCAACATATCTGGCAGATGCAGCAGAAGTGGAAGGCCATCGGAAAGGATGTCCCCTGGTCGCTGTGCTTCGGGGTTCCGCCAGCGGCCATCATGGCGGCCAGCATGCCCATCCCGGACGGGGTGACCGAGGCCGGCTATATCGGCGCGTTCACGGGCCACGCCATTGATGTGGTCAAGTGCGACACCAACGATCTCTTGGTACCCGCCAACACCGAGATCGTCCTGGAGGGAACCATGAGCATCTCCGAGACGGTGCCCGAGGGGCCCTTCGGTGAGATGCACGGGTATGTTTGGGCACCCGTCTTTCCTTTCGCATCGCTACTAGACTAACCAATGACCCTCAGCTATGTTTTCCCCGGTGATTCGCACCCTTGCCCCCTGTACAAGGTCAACAAGATCACCTACCGCACCGGTGCTATCCTCCCCGTTTCCAACTGCGGTCGTCTGACCGACGAAACGGTATGTTCACTTCCTCCGCTTATTCTTATTCCCGCTCCCTCCCAAATCCCCTCATAGGATAACTTATCCCAAAACAGCACACAATGATCGGCCCCCTCGCGGCCGCTCAGATCCACCAACTCTGCAAAGACGCCGGCCTCCCCGTCAAGGAGGCGATGTCTCCCTTCGAATCCCAAGTAACCTGGGTGGTCCTGCAGATCGACACCGCGGCCCTCCGCCGTCTAAAAACCACCTCGGCCGCGTTCAGCAAGCAAATCGGCGACCTGGTTTTCAATCATAAGGCCGGCTACACGATCCACCGGCTCGTCCTCGTGGGCGACGACATCGACGTCTACAACTGGAAGGACGTGATCTGGGCCTTCTGCACCCGATGCCGCCCCCAGCTGGACGAGTACTTCTATGAAGACGTGCGCGGCTTCCCCCTCATCCCGTACATGTCGCACGGGAACGGCTCCCCGACCCAGGGCGGGAAGGTGGTCTCGGATGCGCTGATGCCGTCGGAGTATACCACGGGGCCGGACTGGCAGGCGGCTGACTTCCGGCATTCGTATCCGCGGGAGATTCGGGAGAGGGTGGAGGCTAGCTGGACGGCGATGGGGTTCCGGGGCGAGGATTGAGTGGGAAGGCCGAGGAGTTGCGGGTGCGTATATGAAGTACAGGCCCGCGCAGGTCCTTGGTGTGGTCTCCTCTCGCTTTCTTTTCTGGTGGCCTTTCTACTGTGTACATGACAGGCTCAATTAAGATCTTATCGCTTGTATGCATAGCTTAACTATTGCTTCTATGATATGTTAAATTGTGTGGGTGGATCTTCCTGGCAATCTTACCGTGTAGGCCTTGGAGGAACTCCGATGACTTGGATTAGGGCTACCCGCAAAGACCTCTGGACCCCGTCGTGTAAATATATTTCGCTCGAAACATAGCAGGCCAAGGGGGTCTGTATAGAGCCTTTTCTACTGTTAATAATAGTAGTATTTAGTTATAAAGAGTGATTATTGATTATCATACAGTTATAATACAGTTACAATACAGTTATAGTACAGTTAGAATACAGTTGTAGTAGTAAAAAATAGTCTTAAAATAATAAATACTGTTATATAATAGAAAGAGTATATTACAGAACTGTATATAACTAATATTAAAAGTAGATTACTTAATAATTAATTTTAATACTAATAGTTATCTTAAATATTATATAAGTTTCTTATAGTTTATTTTTATATTAGATTAGTTATCTTTCTATTCTTTAACAGTAGTCTAAAAAGTAATAACAGTACTATTAAGATTTTTAAGTATATAAAATACTATTTTATAATATAAAAATAATAAAAACCTTTATAATACTTTATATAAAGTCAATATTCTATATATACTGTATTAAAACTGTTAAAATTAGGAAAGTATAAGCAGATTTCTATAAAAAATCTAATATAAATACTTTTTTAATATTAGGATTAAGACTTATTAAAGCCTATTTACTTAAATATTTAAAATAAAAAAGTACTAATAAAGAATTTTTTCGAATCGCTTATAAAGGCTTTACAAAAAAAAATATAAAATATTAATAATTAAGATAGTATATAATCCCATAAGAAAGATAAAATAGAGTAGAATAATATTAAATAAATAATCGACTATAAAGTAGATAGGAACTAATAAATATTAGTAAATATAATATAAAGAATATAAAAAACCATAAACTAACTATTTAGAAATCCTAATATAACTCTAAAAAAATAGTATTATATTATTATACTAGATTAGAATATCCTGAGAATACTTTATTAAATATACTAATAAAAATATTTTAAGAATTTAGTTTATTAAACAGACTCTTAGTCTTCTAAAATCAAGTTGTCTAGACAGAACATATTTCTTAATTATAGAATTATATTTATTTAGTAAAATATAGTAATTTAAAAGTTATAAATATAGCTGACAAAGCTTCGAGATTAATTAAACTTAAATAGAAAAGTTATAGTTTTAAGTACTACTAAACCCAAGTCGCAGAAACTGTCGAATCCGATCTATTCGAAAAAGATAGATTATAAGATTATATAGCAAGGCCCGATCTGTTCAAGTCTTATAAATTCTAAAAATAAAAATAGAAGTAATTAGAGTTAAGATTCTAAATAATAGAAAAATTATTTTATATCTATCTATATTTCTGTTCTCTGTTTAATATATTATAGTTTATTAATAGTCTATACTCTATAATAAATAATAGAAAGTATATTCTAAGAGAGTATAATCTATTTTAAGATATATATATTTCTATTAAATAAGTATTATCGGTATTATCGAGGGAGGTATTATTGAAAAAAATATTATTAAGAAAGATATTATTAAGAAAAATATTATTAAGAAAAGTATTATTAAGAAACATATTATTAAGAAAGATATTATCGAGGAAAATATTATTAAGAAAGATATTATCGAGAAATATATTATCAAGAAATATATCTAAGTTTATTATATATAGAGTGGCTAACGGCCAGGTCAGATCAGGTTAATTGGAATTTTTATACCTGACCGCCAGGTTATGGCCAGATTAAGAAAATTTTTATACCTGACCGCGGTATAGCTAAAAAAAAGACAGTTAACTGTCTTAACTGTTTTTAGTACTAAGATCTGCTTATTATATCTATTTGGACTTTAGTACAGTTAAGATATATTCAGATTAAGTAGTTATTAATCTAACCATCTTAACCGTTGTTTAAAAGTATATAGAAACAAGCTTTTAAAATCAGAAAAAAATAACTAAAAAAAGTATTAGTATCTTCTTTATCTCTATCTTAAAGAATTAATTAGAGATTTCTAATAGTATTAACAAAATTCAGCTTTTTATAAAATTATAGTTCTTACAGTAAGAAATATATATAAAAATATATAATTACAGCTTGATTTAAACCGTATATTTTAATTATAATATATAATATCAGAAAAACTGTATATTTACTAATAATTAGACCACTAAAAATAAATATACTATTTTTATTCTACTATTTTTTTTCTTACTTTAGCTTAGATAGTCTATTATATTCTTATTTTTATCTAAAAAAGCTAAATTATCTGTATAATAAATTAAACTTAAAAAAAAATCTATATAATATTATTTATATAATCTTTCTCGGCAACTATACTTTCTAATAATTATCTTATTAAATATTAGATACTGTAAGAACAGTTTATTATTTTTATTCTTTTAATCTAGTTAACC